AAAACTACTAGCCATTTTCATGTATGTGCCTAGCATGAACTGAAGTTATCAAAGAAAGTTCCATACCTGTGTTAAGGAGTCTACAAGGGCAACATTGATAGCTGGTGTCTTACAGAACCAAAAAGAGCCAAATTACCTAATACTATGTTGTTTTTCATTTTTTGTTTCTTGGTTTTTTTTAAGACATGGTTTCTTTGGAGGCTTTCCTGGAACTAGCTCTTGTAGACCAGACCAGGCTGGTCTCGAACTCACAGAGATCTGCCTGCCTCTGCCTCCAGAGTTCTGGGATTAAAGGCGTGTGCCACCACTGCCTGGTATACCACGCTGAATGTGCCTAATCTCGTCTGATCTCAGAAGCTAAGCAGAGTTGGGCCTGGTTAGTATTGGATGGGAGACCTAGTGCTATGTTTACTTCCTTAGTAAACATTCAATGCCTACCTCTAGCTGTGTCTAATATACCATTGCCATGACTATTAGGCAGAAATTTGGGGATGTACTAATGTACTACAGCACCAGCTTCCACCAATCTAGAAACTGTGGGTGTCATCAGATAATCTGTGATAGAGATTTCCTCAAGGTGCTGTAACCCATCCATTCCATGTTTCTACCAGTGTGTTTGAAAAGTGCTTTGGTGGATGGCTTCTTGTTCTGCAACTGAAAAACTGGTGACAGTTTTCCACATTGGAACATGGTATTGAGGAAAACCTAATTTATGTGTGTGTCAGGGTCTCACAATATAGACCTGGCTAATCTAGAACTCAGAGATCTGCCTGTCTCTGTCTCCCAAGTCTATGTTCTACCCACCACACCTCAAAACAAACTATCTCCTATTCCCTTTTGAGGTGAGAGTTGTGCTTTGAGTCCATACCAGTGTGTTCATCTCCAAATGCATGTGCTTATTTAGGAAAACAAGGAGGGCAAATAAAAAAGGAAGATGGCCCTGACACAGACTCACTCACTTTCAACCCTGCCCATCCTGAAATTCCTACCTTATGAAGTTGCTAGGATGTGAAATGAGACTCCCACTGAGAACTGGCGTTATATTACCATATCATAATAGTAATATACTATACTATACAATTGTTTTGCTTCTTTATCAACAATAGATAACTTCAGATATGTTTTATGTAGCTGGCACAGAGAGAAATATGCCCCCACACCTGCCACAGAGCACTAAAGAGACCTTTAAACTATTTCATCTTTTTATAATATTAAATTAGGTAACCCTTCCTCAACAAGAAGTCATCAAGAGAACATTGGGTTAAGTTGGTCATGCAAAACCTCAACATTTTTTCTTATACAAATGAGTGGCAAGTAAATGTGCTTTAAAAACAACAAATAGGGTAATAAGTGATTCGAAATTCATAGTATAAACATTTAATTGAGTTTAGAATTCTAAGTTTTAGCAAGACTTTTCACCATTTCCCTTGGGGGTTGTTATGCCCCTATTCTACTTTTAACTAACTTTTATTTTATGTGTATGAATTTTTGTCTGCATGTATGCCTGTGTACCACATAAGTGCAATGCCTGGGGAGGTCAGAGGAGAGTGTCAACTCTTCTGAGACTAGATACATCAATGTAAGCCACCATATGGGTTTGGGGAATTGAACTTAGGTCCTCTAGAAGAGCAGTCAGTGCTCTTCACTGCTGAGTCATTCTCCAGTTCTGTCATACCCTCTTTTCAAAGCCTCACAAAATCAATGGTACCAAGAATAATTGTCCTGAGAACATGGGGGAAGAATGAATGTTCCTCAGTATTTGAGCGTCGTGGGCATGTGACCTGCACCATAGCAAAGGGTTAGCATTCATTAGGAACCCAATCTTGATTTAATGTTGTGCTGCCATCGTGAAATTTTAGACAATTTTTGAAAGGTGGGAGCCTGCATTAACATTTGCAGTGAACCTTGAAGAATGTGTAATGACATCTAAACTACCTGCAAAGCAATATATTTTGTGCCAAAGAAAAACAATAAAATGTTTAAGAAATATCCCTTGTAGTAAAAAATTTATAGCTTAAAAGTAGGAATAAGAATAGTAACAGAACTCAGCACTCAGGAAGCAGAGGCAGGCAGATCCGTGTGAGTTCCAGGACAGCCAGAACTGTTTTCTTTCTTTTTTTTCATTATTTCTTATTTTTTGATTTCATTTTACATTCCAACCACAGTTCTCCCTCCCACCCCCTAGTCTCCTCCCATCCCCCTTGCCTCCCACCTAGTCCACCCCCAATCTACTCCTCTTCACAGGTAAGGGCTCCCATGAGGAGTCAACATAGTCTGGCACAATAGGTTGGGGCAGGGGAAGGTCCCTCTCCCATGCATTAAGATTAAGAATGGCATCCCACCATGATTAGTGGGCTCCAACAAGCTAGTTCGTGTACCAGGGTTATATTGTGGTCCTACTGACAATGAGCATGGCATTCCTCCCTAAGGAATGGGCTCCAACAGGCTAGCTCATGTACCAGGTTTGTATCATGGTCTTACTGCTAAGACTGTTTCACAGAGAAACCCTGTCTTGAAAATAAAAAAGAAAGAAAGAAAGAAGGAGCAACAAAAAAAGAATAATAACACTCTATGGTTGAGATCATCATCAGTGTATTGGATTCAAACAAGAAAAAAAAGACTTAACCAATGACAACTGGGAGTTAAAACAGGTGGGTGAGCTGTAGGAAAGCCTGGAAATAGGCTCATAGTCGCATGGAATCACTTGGCTTGTGGATCTCAAGAGCCCAGGCTAAAGAAACTGTTGGCAGAGAAGGACCTAGAACACTCAGACAATGAGAGTATCAATAATTAACTGTAAACCCCTGAAGGGCTGTAGAGAGGGAAGCACTAAATCACAGTTACAATTTCAGAAGATTAAAGCACACAAGGATGGCCATCTTGGCAACGTTCTAGACTCTCAGCAGTACTGTGCTATTTAACATACAGTGCAAAATTGTTTTTGCACAGTGGCCAAAAGCAAAGTGACACCAAAGTTAGTAGTACCCACTTCTTTATTCTACCTATCAGTTCTGCTTGCCCTAAGCTAAAGACAACAACAACAGCAACAAAAATCACTCATTCTAGAGAGCCATTAATATTCAGTGTTAAAAACAGATTCTAAATCTAAGACAGCTCTGAACACACACACACACACATACACACACACACACACACACACACACACACACACACACACCTCTATTTCCTAAAACGGTGCCAGTAGAAAAGGACATCTTCCTAGAATTGTCCGAAAGAGCATTTGATTGTCATTTGCCCATTCCTTGAAATTACAAATTCTTGGAAGCTAAAATCAGCATCTTAAGAACTCAAGCTGAGATATTCCACACAAATGACAAGCCCCACCCCCACACAGCCATTTCATTGATTGCCAACTGAAGTTTTCATCAGAATGTTGTCAGATCAATAGCTTTGCAGTTTAAGACTTAAAATGAATATGCATTCTTTATCTTTCTCTCAGTCTCTCAATACACACACACAGACACACACACACCATTGAACACACATATATGTATATCCTGTCACATAAATATGGCATCTCAATAATTTAATTTCCTTTCAAACTACATTAAACTTCAAAAGAAATTTATATTTCCACCTCTCCTGATCTAATCACACCAAGGGGAAAAGAAAACACCCCGCTGACATTGAAGTATTTTAATATATTATTACCTGATATCAAATTAGAATTTTATTGTCCCTTCAGCAGGAATATAACAAAAAGATTTCATGTGGAAATGAAATATGTATAAAAGATGAAGCAGAAACAAAATTAATTAATAGAAATACCCAAGTAAGGGACATTAAAATTGCATTTTAAGAAAACTCAATAGATATCTGTTAAGATATATTACTGAAATAAAACATGGGTTTGACTTGTTAGCTCCATTTTAACCACTTACTCACACAAAGCAAAAATGTAGAAATGAAAAGTTTAATATTCCAGCCCTCAAAGAGGAAACCTTAGTGTGCACTGTCCTTGTTTTACATAATCTGCACATCGCCATGTTTCTGTTCTCAAAAGTAAAATGATGCAAATTTTGGAGATGTGGATATGTATGCACAGTGTGTGTGTGTGTGTGTGTACATATCTGTATGTGGGTGCACACATGCACACCAGCAAAAAGCTATCAGGTGTCCTGCTCTGTCACTCTCCCTGCCTTAGTCTCCTGAAACAGACTCTTATTGAACCTGTGGCTCACTATTTTAGTTAGACTGGCTGGCCAGCAGACCCCAGCAATATGCCCATCTCAGTTCTGCCCCAACCATTCCATGTCCTCATACTTGCAAGGCAAGCATTCTCAGCCACTCTGTTACCCCCAGGCCCCAATACAAAATATGTTTAAAGTCACTAGAATTGCCAATGTCTCTTTCAAATAAAATTAGACATGTGCTAAAAATAACATATATATGTTAAAGTTTAATGACAGAGATCAGTGTTTTTCTAAGAAATGAGAAGTAAGTTTTCCATTAAAATCCTGAGTTATCATAATAATCTATGAATTAAAAAGGAACTGGAAGTAAACAAATTTGGGAAATTAATCTCAGGATTACAGGCTAACAAGGTGCCTTGTGGAATGTCTCTTCCCTAGCTGTGTTCCTTTTCCTATGGAAACCCACAGGAGACAGGCTGTGTAGATGAAGTGGTGCCAACATATTAACTACTAGATTGTGAGAATGAACATCCTTTCCTGATCAAGTAAATTCTCATTTGTGTCTCTGAGAAAACTCTGCATGTCCAAGTATACTGGGTAAAATCTGGATGTCCTGACTTAACCACACATCCTGAGAACCAGCAGCAGAAATATAACAAAGTGGATCCAAAGTCATCTGACCATTCCACAAATTAGTAGGCAATTAACACTGAGATAAAAGCAGGCACACATGCAAGAGCACACACACACACACACACACACACACACACACACACACATACACACACGAAGCTGCATTTGAAAGAGGTGCCAAATCTTCCAAATGAAAAGAAAGAAGTGTCCTACCTTTTTAAAAATTCCATATACTCGGTATGCTTGATGAGTCCTGTCCGCATCATTATTGTTTGAAAACATTGTCGATCAATGGCCCACAGTTTCACATTTACAAGAGCTAGAGAAAGAGAAAACAAAGCAATCAGGGAAAAATAATTAGAAAATCTCACTTGTGAACAACACCCTATAAAACAGATTCTTTAGTCATGAGAGGTATGAAAACAACTAACCTTTTACACATATTTAAAGCTCATAGTATTAAGCTGTCCTGTTTCATCAACAAGTCAGCGACATTTGGCAGCAACATGTGATTCTTGGTTTTCTATCTAATATTACTATCTACCAAGAAGGTTCCTACTACTTTCATGTCCCTGTCCATCCTCTCAAAAGTACACACTAAACACTGTGCATGAAAGAAATAGCATAAGGTAAAAAGAGAAATAATATTTGCTGGTAACTAACCAGAAGATTATTAATGGCTCACATAATTGTATTTTAATTATTAAAAAGTACAAATAAAATAATCAACTTCCACTTTGGGGATTTGGTATAACTGAAATAATAATTACCTAGCAATTTCTACACCATACTTGTTTAACAAATAGTAACCTGTACACAAACTACATAGCAGTTTTAATAGATATGTTTGCTGAATTTTAATGTCTCTTACATACTCTATCTTTTACAATGCATAATGTTGAAGCTGAATGCCACAGAATCATTAAGTCCATAATTAATAGACAAGATTAAAAACAAAATGGCAGGTGTTATAGAATGAGATACAATGGTTTATCAAGGTAAACTTATGTAAATAAAAAAATGAGCACATTGGGGGCTGGAGAGCTCAGCAGTTAGAATCACTGAATGCTCATCTGAGGGACCCAGGTTCAAGTCTCAGAACCCACATGCTAGCTCACAGCAAACTGTAATCGCAGTTTCGGACATCCAATGTCCCCCGCTGGCTTCCACAAGCAATAAACATGCATGTTGTGCACAGACATACATGCATACAATACATCTATGCACATAAAAGTTCAAAAAGTCAATGAGGGATGCTCTCTCAGCCTGGACTCTTGTGGGAGGGCTTAGGCCCTGCCCTGGATGAAATGAGAGACTCTCTGGAGATCCTCCATGGAGGGCCTCACCCTCCCTGGGGATCAGAGTAGATGTTGGGTGGGGGACTTGAGGGCCTGGTGGGGAGGGGGGGATAGAGAAGGAGCTGGGACTCTGGGACTGACATGTGAAACAAGCTTGTTTCTGACTTAAATTTTAAAAAACGAAGAGAAAAAAGTCACATAGTTAAAATATAAACATATACTAAAATTTTTGCAAATGAACCTGTGTGGTAAGTATATGTTTTGTTTATTATGGTCTCTACATTTATACATATCTTAACATTTTCCTAATAGAAAAATAAATTGTTAGTATTATATTAATGCAATATAATGAAAAATATCTTTTGCATTCTAAGAGACACAACTTTTTCTGGGCCTCATAGCCGGAGATGATGCAACACCTTGAGGTCACTTAAAACTGCTCCTCTTGCTGGGCGGTGGTGGCGCACGCCTTTAATCCTAGCACTCGGGAGGCAGAGGCAGGTGGATCTCTGTGAGTTTGAGGCCAAGCTGGACTGACAGCCTCCAAAACAATACAGAGTTAATGTATAACTGTAATCTTAAATTATGTACTCTTGTATGCCCCTGACCCAGTTATGCATTAACTTAAATTTAAAAGTAGATTATATGGAAAATCCAAGGCGCGTAGGGTTGATTTTTACATTGTTCACTTACAAGTGGGTTAAACAAACAGGCTGAGTACACAGCAAGAGAAGCAGTTTTGTTTTTTTTGTTGTTTTTTGTTTGTTTGTTTGTTTGTTTGTTGTTTGTTTTACGAGACAGGGCTTCTCTGTATTGTTTTGGAACAACATAGAGAGACAGCCTTCAGGCAGGTACTGATTCAAACTCACAACAGACAGATGGAGGATGGAACACACAGAAAACATGAAGTAGATAATTCAAATCTGAACTGGTGCTTGATTAAATGATTTCAATGGCTTTTTATTCCTTTCTTTAGTGTGACAAAAACATTGAAGTCAATTACTAATGTGCTTAATCCACACAAGTATGAAAAATTTAAAAGACGGAATCATATATCAAACTTGAAAATATAGGGTATGTCCAAAAGTCAGACGATGCTGGTGCATACTTTTAATCCCAGCACTTAGGAGACAGAGGCAGGAGGATCTCTTGAGTTCAAGGTCAGCCTTGTCTACAGACCAAGTCCTAGGACAGTCACAGCTACACAGAACCCTGTCTCAAAAAAACAAAATATAAAAACATAAATAATAATAAAAGAAAACATAGGAGATATAACAGCAACTAGTACTGAATGAAACTACTGGGTGAGGCCAGCAGATGGTTAGTTCAAATGGACATAGTTAAAGTGAGAAACCCAGGTTAGGAGGGGAGGAATGTCACCAGAATAGTCAGAATGCTCATGTACATTGAGGAGATGGGACAAAAGCAACGTGAAAGAGATAAGAGAGAAAGAAGATAAATGGAATATTAGATTCTAGAGCAAACCCAATTCTGGAATGTTACCTAACTTTCTTGCAAATCTCTTTGAGCCTAAGAAACTGGAATGTAGTCTCATTTAACTAGTTTGTCAGCCATTAAAAAAAATCAGTAGAGGAGAAAAAGAAGAAAGCAGAAAGCGGTCATATACACATGGCTTCTTTCCAGATGTCTTTTGAAAGTGGCACTTCTTCACAGTCATCCCAGGTATTCTCCAGCCACAGTCTAGCTTTTCTGATGACAGGCATGCTTACTTAACACAAACCATAAGACTGTATGCTATAAAACCAAGGAAGTGGAACGTGAGGGAAAGAGTGGTGGGTGGATGAAGTGTACATGGCGAGAAAAGAACTGGCACCAACGTCCAACTGGAAATGAGCTTTGGAGACCAGCACCACCAAGTAGCACCAAATGGCTGAGACTTGTGGCATAGAGAAAGAGCTGATACAGGACTCTGAAACATAGGTTTATGAAGTGAGAATCCATTTGATGAATAACAGAAAGCTGTTAGAGATCTTTAACATAAAAATGAAACAAAGCAAATAACCAAAATTTAAGAGAATGTGTGTTGGGTACACCAGTGTGTTTCAAAATGTTTATGTGTTATAAAATTAAAAATTTCAAGGTCATTATCATTTTAGCAGTTAATAGGTATGGCACGTATATGTATACCCACCACTAAAGGAAGAATTAAGTTGCACCAACTAATGTTACTAATTTTTTACACTTAACAATTTTATTTTTGTCATGTTTATGTGTGTAGGTTGTGCATGTCAGGGCATGAGTGTAGAAGTCAAAGGACAACTTGCAAGAGTAAGTCCTTACCTTCCATCACATGGGTCCCAGAGACAGAACTTGGCTCCTCGGGGTTGGTGTCAGACACCCCTACACAGTGAGCCATCTTGCTGGTCCCAATGTCACTATTTTTAAAAGGACTTTTAACTGACACACATACACATCTTTCAAACACACACTAGTTGATAACTAGAAATGGTGTAACGAGTGAAGTTCAGAGTGGATACATCTTAAAGCCATAGCTCTGCAGGAAGAGCTATGAGAGCTCCAGCCATAGTGACAGTGAAAAACACAATCTAGGAGGGACACAGGTTGTGAGAGCCCTGAGTCAAATGGTCTACAGATCAGCAAGGGTGCCAACAAATGACAGTTGATATAGAATCTATAGGGCAAGGGAGTAATATGAAGAGAGCTCTGGTAAGGAATATCATCTTTGTAATTCAGAGGGTTCACAGTTTCAGACAATGAGGGACAAGTATCTAGTGAGGCCACAAACAATTCAGGAATCAAGAAAGGAAGTCACACTGAGTGTAGCAGCAGTAGGAATAAGAAAAAAGGCTTGGGAATTTGGGCTGTGTGGAGTATATGTGCATGTCCTTGTGTGTTTCTTTGTGTGGAAGGGTGTCCGTGTGTGCATCTGTGTGGCCATGTGTGTCTGCATGTAACAGTGTATGTGTTCTGTGGTGACTATGTGATGTAGTGACATATGTAAGCATGTGTGACTAATATTGCATTTATCTCTTGTATGTATATTTCATGTTTACTCAAAAAAGCATATATTCTTCTACAGACAAGTTCCTTATTTCTATTACTCCCACCAGTAGAAATGGACTTTCACTGATAAGCGTTAGGTAAACGTCTTAATAAATGAAATTTATATACATGAAGTTCACCTAAAAAAATCCTCACATGAGAATGAAGGCCTACATTATTTTACATGTTATAATCAAATCTCCAGACTGAATTTATCAGATTTCACTATTCATGTTTTTTTAGTGACTTCTGTAAATGAGTTTACAGACTTCAATGATTTGCTTACTTGGGCTACTAAAATGTCCCTCAGAGAAATTTCATTTCAGATAATATTGCTTCATGATAATGAACATGGGTTGATGAAACAGAAAATTTATCCATGACCTTGAGCAACATACTGAAGCCTTTCTGCACTTTAAACCATTGCATCTTAGTGATGTTGGCATTTTATAGGTAGGTAAGCATGACCTGTCTTATTAAAAATGTAATCTCAGAGTTGTGATTAACATCTTGCTCAAGTTGCCTGCAGGGGTGCAAGTGTGTTTTTCCTTAAAGAGATTATTAACAGAACTGTTTTATTTATCTTTGTTTATAAGTGTCTTATTAATCTCTACAGGGAATCATCTCTGCATGAATGAATACCTGAGATTCTCATGATGACTGCAATCAAACTGACAATACAGGCTATTGCCACTGCCCTTGGTTGCCTAACAGAAACTGAGGGTAAGATACCACACTTAGGACATAGGACTTTCAGAAATGGGACAGGAAATCACCTGCAAGCCTCTCCCTAGGGACTAGCTCTTTTTTATATATTTTATTTCTTTTTTATTTAAATTAGAAACACACATGCTTCAAATGTCAATCCCAGTTCCCAACCCCTTGTCTCGCCACCACCCCCACTCCCCCACCTCCAGCCCAATCCCCACATCATTCCCCAGGGAGGGTGAGGCCCTCCTTGGGGGGGATCTCCAGAGTCTGTCATTTCATCCAGGGT